GAGAAATGTATGCAGTTAAACGACCATTTGTCATGTTAATTGCAGAGATTGTGGGAGGTCCTCTTGTGTGCCAAAAACCAGCTTCCTCGACCTGTTGGCAGTCATTTTTGTCGTTGCTGGCAGACGCTGACTCAGTGGCTTGAGGTAATTTGTTAGGATCTTAATAACCACGCAGCAGGGTTCTTTGGGGTCCACACGATGCCCGGAATCAAAAAAAAGTATGCCAGAATAGCGTTGTTTAACTTTGCTTCGCCTTTTCTCAGCCTTGATGGCAGGTGTTTATTTATTCTTTTGGAGAGGCATTGACTAGTGCGACCAATATAACCTGTTCCTCCCTTTCCTTAAGCTTTTAGGAGGGCGTTTTTATCCTATGTCTCTGTTTATATGCAGTGAAATTTTCCACGGCTATGTGGTCCAACGCTCGTATTCGAGCTGGTGCTTGTCGTCGTCAACATTTGGTCTAATTTACGGACGTAATAAAGTAGACGAGGAAATCCAGCGGATTCTGCCCTTGTACAATATCATCTCTTGGACTGCGGTGTAATCCGGATCCTGTGCTTGCTACAGCTGCGGCCTTTAGTGGTCTAGCTGGTCTCGATAATGCCGCGAATTACATCCCTTCATGCGTTTCAAAAGAGGCCGAATGGGGAGTCTAGAAGCATTGTCTAGTCAGATATTGAGTGAAGTATTTTCCACATCCCTGAATTAAAATCGGCGTAAGGCCGCAGGCATAAAAACTGAAGTCATCAGGCCGACGGTGGTGAACTTATCCCAGCTACCTAAACCATCTTTAGATGACTGGATATCCTTATGGTAATATCCCAGTGAGCACTGATTGTTATTCGAGAAAAGGTTAGTGTATTTCTCTTGGAAGATACTTCTCAGGCCGTAGTTTTGTTTCACAGTTCTCGCAACCCAGCATTCGAAACCGTATACGAAAACTACCTAACAGCTTCCTATCAATCGTGGATCTTTGTGCTAGCAAGAGTATCGCATCGGACAAATAAACACCCTTCGAGGATTGTTAACACTTAGCATGTACCAATGACGCGGAATGGACGCTCATTGTGAGAGAGCAATCGCCACATTGTAACAAGAAAATAGTGTTGACCACTGGTTCAGAAAATGAGATGAAATATTAGCTCCGGGACCTTGATTTCCTGCAATCCCGAGTGGGTAATTCAAACCGCAGGTAGGCAGCAGACATGTATCTATACCGATGACGACTGTGTACTTTCAGACTTTGGCTGCCAGCGTACAGAAGTGTTCAGATGTTTTAAAATCCCATACCAAACATTATTTCCCATTTTGTTAGTCTATCCTGGATACTATTCACCCGCACCGTTGAACCATGGGTTGCAGGGCACCTCCGTTCACATAGACCCCCTATCATGGATCGTAATACTTTTATTGGACATTTATACGAGTCTTCTTAAAACGTTTTATAAAATCGTGGTCTCAACAGCAGTTAAATCGTTTGTCCGAGTTTTTTTTTTTCTGCAGCACTTCGACTCTAAAAACTTGCCACAAGACAGCAGTGGTCAGCGAATTTATTTACTGTTCAGTGTTCACGATCGTGGTGCTGTCATCAGACAAAGTTTTATAAGGTGGTCGGTTTTTTATACCTCAGTCGTACGCGGCCTTATAACACCTTTACTGCTTATTCGCAAGATCTGGGAGAGCTTATTTGACAGCTAACTTGCACCGAAAGCCGTTCAATTATGCGCCGGGTTGCAAAAAGATAAGATAACGGATCTTTTAACGATCCACATTGTTGTCAGAAGGACGTGACCTGCAAGAAACTGCCCTTTTAATTATCTTTTTTGTCCTATCTCTGCTGTTTGGTTTTGTTTGAGCATTCCTAGCTGCATTTTCATGCAAGTAGACAAAAGTTATCCGTGAGGTTTTGTTCACCAGTGCAAGAAGTTGAACTCAAACATTTTGCAGAATACATCAACAAAGGTTCTAGAACATAGCAGACGTCGCCGAAAAGATTTAACCTCTGCTGAGAACATTCACGTGGGTGGAAATACCAAAGCGGGTCGGTTGGGGGGGGGATTGATTGCATCCCGATTCTGGGAAATACGTGTACTTCAAATAATTATGGGTTTACTCTACTGGAGGTTCTGATTGCGCTCCAAACAACCTTGATGTTTTATTTTTAAGATTATTCAGTTCATCTATTCGCCTACTTCAACCATCGAAGCAAACCACAATGTGGTTTAAACGCCCAAGCGTAATACAAGGCTCTTGTGAAATGGACACTGTTTCCACCCTCAGTGTTTGCAAGGCCTAACAAACTAGGCGTTTCTGGAGTCTCCTTATGTTCTGCTGCCCTAATGCAACTGTAACCGTGATCAGTTGGCTTCTGTTGTGAGCCTTCATAATATGTATAGGAACTCGGTAATTGGCAATAACTTGCCGGAAGGTCTGGTCTTATGTTAGTAAAAATCAGGTGGAGGCGTTTTGTCACAAAAATTGTCTGACGGTATTTTGTTTTACCACAGCGAA